TCTTTTCTTTTCTTTTCTTTTTTTTAAACAATAACATCCATACTATGTTGTCATCCTTACGTTGATAACAGTAGCCAGTAGGGGCGCCATACATTATTTATTTGGTTATAATCTAACGATCATGACAAATCTTCGACCTCTATCCTGTGACAACTTAGCCTCTATATATATATATATATATATATATTAAATATGCATATAAAGTATTCACACGAGAGATGCCAAACATTAAGCGATCAAGGAAAAGTATGCCGTGAATATCACCAAGTAGGAAAGAAATTTAAGGTAAACGTCACCCACGCCTACGGTTGAGTAAAAATACATTACAGTTCGTCAACTGTATTTATTATATAATTTTTTTTTTGTTAAAAAGGGGAAACGTATTCCACTGTCACTTTTTTTTTTTAATGAGTAACCATGCCACGGTACAGTCATCTTCGATGCAATCAATAAGTCAAAGCACTAAAACCTAAACTAGTTATTATATCAGTTGAGACACTGATTAATTGCCAGTGATCTTATTCAATACTGATTGAATCAATATGGCTTGGCTTTAGAGAGCAGGCCTTAAAAGCTTAAGGTGTAAACGAATTGGTCTTGTTAAGTTTTACTTTAAGACTTTATTTTGGCCAACCTGACTTTAATTTTTAAAGTCTTGATCTTATTTTTTTTCATTTTTTGAAATTTAAAAATCTTAAAAATATCTTTAAAATTACAAAAAAATTATTTCACATAATATAAATATAGAAAAATAAATTTAAGACAACTCACATAACAATAAATTTAAATCTAATAAAAAATAATAATATCACAAAATTAGCAACGAAAAATTAGATTTTGTTAGCATCATTATCATCAACGTCAATATAATTTGATCATTCTCATATAATTAAAACCTATCGATTGAAGGAGAAGGGATGATAACACACTTGTTCGTTGAATGAAATGAAACTAAGATTTTAGACTTTTAATGACATTTAATTATATATAGATTTAAAAGAACTGACCTTAAAAAGGTTAGTCTTATATTTTATACATCAAAGTAGCAATTTGGCCTTATATTTTTTTAGGTTTAAAGGATTCTGTCCTAATTGATGGCTTTACAATCTTGTAATGATTACAATGATATATATTTTAATTAAAATATATAAAAAATTCATATATAACATTAAAAAGAGTAATATTTAAATAAAAATATATTAATCTATAAATAAATCAAATATTCATTTATAAATATTATATAATACCAACAGATCACTAAGGCACAAACCTGATACACTGTTATTTTTTCTTTGTTTTGTTTGACCCAAAAAAATGTCACTTCAAGTTTAGTATGGAAAAGAATATAAAATCCACCTCGATTATTAATTTATTATTTCGTGCAAAACGTTTGGCTCGACTGGTCAGGAAATCAATTCACCAATTTGATTAGTCAATTCAGATTAATTTTTTTAGAAAAGAAGAAAACTAAAGGTCAGTTTGTTTTAACTTGTTTTATAAAAACTTATTTTTTTAAATTTATTTTATAAGTTTTTATAATGTTTGTTTAAACTTTTGTAAATAATTAGCATTCAAAAAGAAAATAAATTTTTAATTATTTTAAAAAGCTGTTTAAAATAGCTTCTAAAAATAATTTAATATGGTAGATAAAAAATAATTTTAAAGAGGTGGGATATGTAAAGATATCATTAAATTTTAAAATAATATAAAAGTAAATTACTTTAATAAAACAAAAATAAGGAAGATTTCTTAAAATTTAAAAAAAATTAACTAATAATTATTTTTTTATTATTATGACCAAACATAAAATAAGATCTATGTTTTATAAAATTTCTACAAGATAAATCACTTTTTATAATATTTCTAAACTACTAAAAAAATATTTTTAATTTTGAGCAAGTGGGCCCTAGTCTTCTTCTTTTATAAAAATATGACATATTTTTTGAAGAAAAATATTTTGTGAGTTTTAATGATTTTTTTAAACTTTTAAAAATAATTATAATATCAAAAAAGTAAATTTTTGATTTTTTTAAAATTTTAATTTCATTTGGTTTATCTTATTTTATGAAAAATTAACTCCTTTTTTAAAATTATTTTGTGATTTTTTGTTATATTTTTTTAAATTTTAAAAATAATAAAATAAAAAATTATTTAAAGAAGGTAGTTTGGACAGCTTATAAAAATAATTTAATATAATACTGATGAGAGAAAATATTTTTAAAGAGGTGAAATATACAACAATATCATAAAATTCTAAAATGATTTAAAAATAAATTATTTTTGAAATATAAAAATAAAAAAATATATTATAAAATTTAAAAATAACTAACCAATAATCACTTCTTTTATTATGATAGTAACAAATAATTATAATCAAATTAGAATACATGTCTTTTTTTAATAAAACCTCTACAAAATAAATTTTTTTAGAAAATTTTTAAAATTTTAAAAATTATTTATTTATTAATTTTAAACAAACAAGTCTTTGTGTAATTTCTAAAAATAATCTAAATCTAAAAATGAAATATAATGTTTTAAAAAAGTAAGATATGTGAAATATAATAATACTTTAAAATAATTAAATAATAATTAATTTTTATAAAATAAAAATCAAAGAAGATATTATAAAATTTAAAAATAATTAATTAATAATTATTTTGTATTATCATAATAAAATATTTCCTCCATTCAAAAATATAAGATATTTTTTGAGAAGTTTAAATGTTAAAAAATATAAAATATTTTTAATCTTTTGAGGTATAATCATTATTTTTTTTAAAGTATCCCTATTGATAATAATTTTATATTTATTATAAGGTGTTTAATAGGGATAAATATTAAAAGATAAGGTCAATTGAAAAGTAGGTAACTATTTCATTAGGGTGAGATTCAGTTAAAAATGCCTTATATTTTTTAACAGGTGGAGTATAAAATAAGGGCCCGTTTGTTTGATACTCCCTCCTTTAGAAAAATAAGATATTTTTAATTAAATATCACTTTTTAATAAAGTAGTTATTTACTTTTAAATTAACTATATCTTTTCATACTTATCTCTATTAAATACCCTATAATAAATATAAAGTCATTCATCAATAGGGATACTTTAAAAAAAATAATAATTACATTTCAAAATACTAAAAATGCCTTATCTATTTTAACATTTAATTTTTTAAAAAATGCCTCACATTTTTGAACGAAAGAAAAATTAAAAATAAATTATTTTTAGATACTTTAGAGATTTTATAAAAAAATTTTATTTTGCAGATATTTTGTTCAAATAAATATCATTTTATATTTAGTTATAATAATAAAAAATTAATTATTAATTAGTTATTTTTTAACTTATATTTTGGGATTAAAAAATATGTTACTTTTTGATAATTTAAAAATTTAAGAAAAAGAGATTTATTTTATTGAGATTTTATAAAAATCACACATGATTTTATGTTTGATTACAAAAAAATAATTATTAGTTAGTTATTTTGAAATTTTATAATATATTACTTGATTTATGATTTTATTAAAATTATTTATTATTTTATTATTAAAATATTTTATAATATATTTGTGTATTTTGTCTCTTAAAAAAACCTTATCTCATTGACCGCGTTAGATTCTTTTCAAAAAATAAAATAATTAGAAATTTACTTTTTATTGTTATTGTTTTTAAAATTTTAAATAATAATAATAAAAATTAACAAAATAATTTTTAAAAAAATAAATAATTTTTTATAAAATAAGTTGAAACAAATTGTCTATTTTTTATAAAATCTTTACAAAATAAATATTTTTTAATAAAACATCCAAATTATGTAAAAATAACTTATTATTTAATATTAAACAAATGAAAACCTTTGAGTAACTTCTGAAAGGACTATGATAGGACGGATGATGATGTTTTTAAAAGGTCATATATATGAAAATATTATTAGTTTTAAAATTATTAAATATTAAATTATTTCTATAAAATAAAAATTTAAAAAGGTGTCATAAAATTTAAAAATAATTAATTAACTGCAATTTGTCCCCATGCAATGCTGGTGAAATATTTCATCATACATGATGTAAAACATTGTAATTTTGAAAACATTAATCTATTGCATATTAATACAATAGTTTTTTTAATTTGTTAAGTAGAATCTTTAATCTATACTATTTTCTTATTTATTTATTATTAGTTACTTATATATTATATTTTAGGATGATTTATGATTTATTTAAAGCATGTAAGTGCTATTATATAACAATTTTGTAGATTACAAGAGAATATACAGCTAAAAAATGAAAAAAGTCACAGCTAAAAAATTTCAATGGCAAGAAAATGAAATGGAACAATTTAAATTTTAATGGGCTTTTATTTTGCTTATAAAAAAGATGTTAGATATTTTAAAAAATAAAATTTATATCTTATTAATATGAACTTTATTTGTATGAGATCATCTTATCTAACTGATTACTTTTTTATGGGAGTCAAATGATGAAAAATATAAATAAATATTTTTAAAAGCGCATTGTTTTTAAAAGAATAAAAATATTAAATATAATCGCTTTTTACTGAATTTTTTTACTGTACATGACTGTAAAAAGCAATTACCAGCATGAGGGGCATGGCACGAGCCCGGGGATAATATAAAACATATACTGTTCATTGATGCATCTCAAATTTATATAGATATTGATAGATACTTTTTTTTTATATTATTATAACAAAACAAAAAAATGGGATTGGATCGCGCAGGGGAAAACCGGGGCGGAGCTAGAATATTCGAGGGTAAAATTAGCGGAAGCGCCTACCTGACCACGTTTCAAATCAAAACGAATTCCGCAACTTCAGATCCTTCCAAGCCATGAATGATGAACCAACCGATTCCCACCGGTCAAAAAAAATAAAAAAAAAATAAAAATAAGGAGACGGATTTCCAAATCTCACCTCCACCAACGCGAGCCTTAACTCAACCCTAACCCTAACCCTTTACCTCAAGCCTTTTCTTGCGTTTAAATATCCCCTCCTCTCTACCTCGCTCACCCACTTCCATCTTCTTCTTCCCTTTTTCCCCATCTCAATTACCCCCCACCTTTCACCGATCGATTTCTAGATTACTCCGATTCCTGTCCTTTCAATCCCAATTCCCCTTCCACGTTTCTGAGTTTCATAGTTCGTTGTGAATGGTAGAAACCCTGAGTACCCCCGATTTCATGCTCTCCCTTCTCCCATCGAGGGCGAGCGCTCTTCTCCCTGCCTCTGCTTTCGCTTTTGGCTCTTGCAAGGAAGGCTGGTATTACCGCTGCCTCGGCGTCGACCCCTGAACTCCCAATTCGGACCCAACCCCGTTCCCTTTTGTTTTTTCTCAATCCTGCGCCTGATTCATCGTCGCTCTCAACCTCTTCTGATTCCCGTTCGGTTCAATTCTTAGATCCTTTGTTTCTTTGGGATTTTGGGTCCCGGCATTTCGTGATTTGAGATTTTAATTCGTGACTGTGACACAATGTTGCTTTCCAAGCCCAAGAAGAGCCAGAACGCTAACGGCAAGAGGCTCTTGATCAGCATCAATGTGCTCGGTAGTGCCGGCCCGATCCGCTTCGTCGTTTATGAGGAGGAGCTCGTCGCTGCGGTCATGGACAACGTCCTCAAATTGTACGCTCGTGAGGGTCGGCTCCCGGTTCTGGGGTCTGATATCAGCGATTTCTTGCTTTATTCCCCTCAGGTTGGATCAGATGGTAGGTTCCGATCAATTTATGTAATCCTGTTTTCAAATAAATGCATCTGCGCAAGTTTACTTTCAGTATTTATTCATTTGTTATTGAGAAAATTTATGTTTTTAAATTATCCTAAATTGTGATGTTATTCCAGCTCTGAGTCCATGGGACACAATTGGATCATTTGGAGCTCGAAACTTCATGCTCTGCAAGAAGCCTCAGCCTGTGAAGGAGGCAGAACAAGCAACTGTGGCTGCCGCACTTGCGCGCAAGGGTGGCAGTGGCAGCTGGAAGAATTGGTTCAACAAGTCCCTCAGCCTGAAAGTTTCTTCCCATTGATCGTGGTTTTGAGCTTTCCGGTGATCCCACCTTGTGTTGTTTTCTTTATTGGGTCAGTTATCTTGTGTTACTGTTCACTTCCGTTCTCATTGGCCAGAGGCGCGCGAACTCTGAACTCTGAATAATTCTGGTTTAGGTATTCATTGTGTCCTCGGCCTTTGATATAATAAAGTTGAATTGGTTTTTGGTGTTTGCACGCCTTAGCTAACATTTGTTTTTTTGAGTCCTTGATTAGTTATGTTAGAAATTATGATCAATTCCGGCTTGTTCTAGCCTGCGAAATCTTGCAGGATTTTATTTTGTTCTCATGTCAGGGATTCTTTTTTTTTTTTTAATGAATAATGCTGGAATACTGGTTGATGTTTATTGTTCACTTTGCTACTTCAGCTTGGCACATTCTCAATTTTTTGTGTAGTTCTCATTTTCATTGGAGGCGATGAATGGGGCAAATATTTTTGTTGACTTTGCTCGAGTTGGATGCACTGAACTTTGAATTTGGATGACCTGGTATCAAATATTGATCATGTTTGTTGACTTTGTACGTGAGGTATTAATATCTAAACAAATCGAGTATTCTAGTATCTTTTATTTGGACCCTACTCCCTACGTACGCTACAAGTTGCACGATGGGGTTTGTACTGTACGAGTCAAGTCAATTAATGGTACAATATTGAATGACACGAGCCACGAGGGATGTACTAAAATCACTTGTTGGCAACAACAAAGCAGAAAACCATCCCAAAGTGATCAGAAATGTTAATTGATTTTGTGTTTGGTTCTAGGTTGGAAAGGACTGTAGCCATAACTTTGGTGGAAATAGGTTGCTATAAGCAACCCATCTCTTAAATGACCTTATGCTTCTATCAGACACTATATGATTTTAGTAGTTTTTAAATGTAAAATTGAGCATGTCCAAGACTGAACCAGTGCATCGGGTCTGGAAAAAAAAAAAAAACCAAACCATGAGTAGGTATTATGGAATTGTACGCGAGCACGAAATTGGAGGGTCTGCCGTCATGGACGATTTTATATTGTTTCATAGGATCGGGACGTTTTTTAAAACTAGTAACTACCCTCCTAAGTCGTATATGATACAGATGGCTCTGGCAAATTAATGTTTCAATCAATGATTATTTTATTCGCCTGATATCTTGATCTACCCTATATAAATTATTGTTTGTCTTCCATTGGATATTCTAATAATAAAAGCATCTCAATTTAATTTTTGAAATATTTGTTACACAATGAATTAGTATTGATTACAAACGATCTGTTAAATCGAAGTACATTGGGTTCCTTTGCGGTCATAAGAATTGAGTGTAAACTACACGAAAGAAGGAGCGGATTGGAGTAGGTTTGAGAGGGAACGCATTTAATGGACGGAAGCCGCAGCCAGAGGCGCAAGGCGAGGAGTCGTGAGAGGTTCAATTGGCTTTTTCTGATGAGTGAGCTTTGTGTTTGTGGGCCAATGGGACCCTCATGGTAGCCGAGCTGGTGCCCTTTCACCGCACCCAATAATAACCCAAATGCGTCATGAAATGCTGCGTGGTGCTCGTGTGAGAGACGGTTGATAATACTCGTAACATGGAAGAAAGAAGCCGTGGGCGATATGGCGTAGGAGCGCCAATATTGATTCGTGTGATAAATAAGCAGGCAACATATGACGTGGGAATGGGCGTTCGCTTGTATTATACTTGAAACTGCCGTCATGATCTACTTACTCTCATGGGAGTCAAATGATGAATCAGAAAAAATGGGTTTTAGTTTGAAGTTGGTGGGTGCAAATGGTCGCCGTAATAACTCCAAAAAGCAGTTGCAATACGCACATGCCAATGCCCCCAGCCACACAGCTTCACTGTGCCACTGCCACCCCCATGTGTCGTTGTTTCTCTTCCTTCTTCCGCCCTTTTCGCCACCCTTTACTCCATTCAATTTTTAAAATATATGATACTTTATTTATTTTCTTAAGATTAAGAAAAATAATTAAAATCGTAAATATATATATATATATATATATTGCTACCTTTCAAGAGTATCATTTAATTACAATCAATCTATTTTAATTTCCTTCTTATACAATATACATCTCTTTAAAATACATTTAATAAACTAAGTTCGAACTTGTTGAAAAAGGTATGTGCATTTAATAATTAACTGTATTTCAAATAGAATTATTTTAATAAAAAGATATTATAATCAATTTTAAAAATGACATTTTTGTAAGTAAACATATGAGTAACGCTATTGATTTTTTTTTTTTTGAAAAAAAAGTGTCTCACGTTTTGAACAAACACTGGCTGATTTGGAAGAATGAGTTGACTTTCATGTTTTGCAGAGTAAAGAACACTACAAATTAAACTGTTAAATTTAATCTGATTATTCACATATATATATTTGATAAATTTTAAAAATACAGATTTAATTTAAACAATTGAGATTTGTAGTGAAAAAATGATTAAAAAAAAACCTTAGGGGGGTTGAAACCGAGAGTGTTGTTTCCTTTCAAAGGCATCTCGGACCTCCATTTACACTTGGATCAACTCGTGGTAAGTGATTAATGCCGAAACAGTTTCTACCTCCTCCACGTTCTCTCTTATTCCACACATTTCGATCCTCCGCCGCGGGTTTGTCTTCCCCTGTTCACCCCTCCCTTCCCCCCCCCCCCAAAACAAAAAAATGTGGTAAAAGTAGGTTTTTCTTATTGCCCTGTGACCGTCCAAATTTTCAGGAAATTTATTTTATTAAAAAAAACATGATTGGGATAACAAAAGTTTGTTGGCATGACCAGGTGGAAATTAGATCCTCTTCCAAACCATCTGTTTCCAGCGCTTATTTACAGACGCAACATCATTTACAGTATGAATAATTTAGCTGCAGAATAAAATGAACAAACAGCTAAAAAAATCAACAAGAAAAGATCTCATATCGTCCTATTTGTCGTGATGTATGGGAAGAGAGCTAGCGGGGCGGCAATAATCTGGGAATCTTTGGATGGACAGCAACAAATGTTATGAGAGGATGAGAGAGAGCAATGAAAGGGTACGGTAGGGAACTGCTCTTGTACCCGAAAAATAAGTGGTCCTTGCTTGTTTATGTGGTTTCTTTGGTGGGGTCTCTTCTATCTTCTCCTCTTACATCTTAATCAATCCTTTTCACCCTCGTTTTCCCAAGGCCTCTAAAAGAATCTTGGGCGGACCCATTCCAGCCCGCCCTCATATCTTCTCCATTGAATGCCCACTCACCTCCTGTCATTTTACTTTCGGAGACCAAATGCACGCCACGTGAACCATAATTACACTTCAACAAATATCAGCATCATATTTCCGTTGAAAAATCATGCTTCCAATCAATCCTCCTCCGCTCACCCTTTGCTTCCATCATTGAAATGTTCATTCATTGGTCCTGTTAAGTTTTATCTTAATCTTCTCACATTTCTAAGTTTCATCACAGCTTTTTTACTTTTAATTTGTAATAACAAATTCCTATTTCTAATGTACTCAAAGTCCATTTCTATGGTAACGTAACTACGTAAGTTGGTGAATTGCACACTCAAAATCCATTTTATTGATATGATGTACTAATATTTTAGTAACTACAATTAAAATGTTTTATTAAGAACTGCCTTAAAATTTATCTAAATCGAACATTTAATAATGAGTTGAATATTAACCGTGGCAACATCAAGTAATAAGAAACTCGATAGCATGTACACAAAAGTTGAATGTTGATTAGGGAATGATATTCGACAGTGGTGATTTGATTCGAAGAAATAATAGAATGATAATCAAAATGGTAAACGTAACACTCCCTAGTTCGTGAATTTGGGCCTTTATCCATCGTCACTATGCTTTTAAGTAAGGGTCCCCATAGGCACTCACCGCGTGAAAATGGAGGGGGCTGGCCCATCCTTGTTGGTCCAACTAACCGTTTTACATTTGGTGGCTAGGCCTATCTTTTTCCACGGCCCAGCAGCCCAGCCAGCTCATTAAATTATATTCTGAATGACAAAAAAAAAAAAAACCTGAAAATGACAATTAAATATGACAAAAGGTGATAATTATTCTTTGATTCTTGAAACATCTATAACATTTTAACAAAATGACATATTTTTTGTCAATAATTATTATAAAAAATAACTGTTTTGGTTGGGTTATTTGTTAAAACAGTATAAAAAATAGCCACTTTCTTTTTATACATTTGTAATTTATAAATAGGTTATAAGATGATTATTTTTTATGAAAATAAATATTTTAATTGAATTTGAATGATAAATAAATTTGGATAAGAAATAATTATTTTTCATTATTACTCAATAACTCAATCAAAATAATAATTTCTTATAATAGTTAATGATTACAAAATTGTCATTTTCTAAAAATCAAAATATTAGACAATTTTCTCATATTTCATGAACTTAATTATTATTTGTATCTTTAGGTTTTTTTTTTGGTCAATATCCCTAAAAAGTGTACTGATTAATACCAAATACATTCACTGAAATCTCGTATGTTACTTCACATTTTTGAGTTTGTAAAATCTTTCTTGATTCTTGTTACAAAAAAAAAAAAGCCCCCAATATTCTTGCAAATATTTCTCTAGCAAAGATTTACATCCCAAATTTCAAAAAAATAAAATAAAAGAATACTCCTTCTATTTTTATATATAAACTACTTTTAATTGAGTCACATATTAATAAAAAATTATTATTTAATTAAAATTGTTTAAAATTATAATAATTTTTTAATAATATCATAATTAATATTAAAATGATGGATAGGATATAATTAATATATTTTCTATTTTTTAAGATAAAAATAAAATTATTTTATTATTAAAAATATCATTAATATTGAACAAAATAAATTTAAAAAAAATATTTTTTACATAAATACGGAAAGTTTAATAGAAGAACATTCATTTACAATGCACAAACTTAAAATTCCGAATTTTAATACAGTTAAAGTTGTTAACATTAAAACTCTGCTTGATAAACCCTAAAGAGCCACTGTCGTGGGAGAGGCTGCAATACAAAAAGAGGACAATGAAGACCGTCGTTAGAAATTGAGAGAGCATGTTCGCGGCAACAAGGGGGAACCTATTGTCTAACTTCACTTTCCTTAGACAACTCACTCGTCCTCTAATGGCCGACGCCACAGCTTGGGCTTCTGCTTCCTTCTCCACTGGTTCTCCCCTCAACCCATCTCTCAAGCGTGTTGGCACTCACAATGGAAGCTTCCACTGCGACGAGGCCCTTGGCTGCTTCATGATTCGCCTCACTGATAACTTCGCCAACGCCGAAATTATACGCACCCGAGACCCCCGGGTACGTTCGCAAAACTCTTACTTGAATTGCTTTTTTTGTTTGATTGCTGACAAAGTATGAAGGTGGATGCTTCACATAAATTCGATTGGAAGACATTCCAATTCTGAAAATGCTTTCAATAAATTTCATGGGGAAGCAGCAGCTGAAATCAAGTAGGAAGGAGGAAAAAGGAAATGGGTTTAATTCCCTCAAAATATGGAGAGATGTTTTATTCTTACCAACCCGTTAAATTGTCGTTGCCATACATCTAACCGCCAGATGTACTAGAAGTTTTTATCATTCTTGTAAAAGATATTTTACAACTTGCGTTTGCAGGTGTTAGAGGGTCTTGACGCTGTTCTTGATGTAGGGGGAGTGTATGATCCTAGCCGAGATAGGTATGATCACCACCAAAAAGGATTTGATGAGGTTTTTGGGCATGGTTTCTCTACTAAACTAAGTAGCGCTGGTCTTGTTTACAAGGTAATCTCTATTTGAAACAAAGCGTGTAATCAGCAATAAATCTGACTTTAAAAAGAATTCAATTTTATGACGTTACTATGCATTTCCCCCTTCCTATAGCATTTTGGTAAGGAGATTATAGCCAAGGAACTGAAGGTGAATGAAGATCATCCAGATGTTCATCGCTTATTTCTGGCTGTGTACAAGAGCTTCATGGAGGTAGCCAATTCTGTAATTTGAGTTTTCTTCTCTTCATTGCCCCTGCCCCTCACCCAGCGCCCCAACCAATAAAAAAAAAAAAGAAAGAAAAAGGAATGAAAAGCTCGATAAGGGCTATGCTTGAATTTACAAATAAAAAAGGTCAGATGACATCTGTTACTGTAATAAAAAAAAAGAAAGAAAGAAAGAAAAAATCTTAGAACTTAACGGCATTATGGAAATGGACAAAGGCATAGTTTATGGGGATTAGGAGAACTAAGTTCGTGCCTTTGCTCAAAATGCTATCATACTTTATGCATTGACTGTCATTGTCACATGATGAGTGTACTATTTATTTTGCAAAATATGGCAATCAGTTTTTAAAGCTTTCTCAGAAAATATGGTTCTATACAATATAAACATGAGCATGCTGTCTAGTGGTTATACTTCATTGTGGGCATCTTCCATATCATTAATTTGAAAGCTGCAGAAGTCATCTTGACATTTGTCAATGCATCTTCTGTATCAGGGTTAAGTCGGTGAAATTTGAATTGCTGGAATTCAGTCCTATAATAGAAAAAGGTTTTCATGTATGGCTGATATAAGCTGCATTTAAGGTTAAGTCATTTCGATTCAACATTCAATGGCCTCTACCAATGGCTTTGTAGTCTAATGGCTTGTACTTCTCCTGTAAGTGGGAGGTCATGGATTCGATAATGGTCTCTTTGTAATAGAACTTTCATTTTGCTTGTTCTGTGAGAGGGACATTAAAGCAAATTGAATCTTGAAGCACATGTCCTTTGGTTCGGTGAAGCAGGGCTCATATGACTTATAGTGCATTCATGGTTTATCAGTCCTCCCACAGTGTTGATAATTTTTGGACAATAACCTTGTTCTTTTCTATTCATGTCAGGCAATTGATGCTATTGACAATGGAATCAATCAGTATGATACAGACCAGCCTCCAAAATATGTGAACAATACACATTTGTCCTCAAGAGTAGGAAAGTGTAACTTAGATTGGACAGAACCTGATCAATCACAGGACAAAGAGAATGAAGCATTTCAGCGAGCAATGGCTCTTGCTGGCAGTGAGTTTCAGGATGTAAGCTCTCCCCCCCTTTTCTTTCCAAACATTTTAATGAATAAGGGGTTTAAATTTAATAATGTCTTGCCTGACATTGGGATTATGAACAGCTTGTAGCTATTGTGAGGGAAGAAGGATTTATGTATGATGTGCTATTGTGCCTATTTGAATTTGTGTTTTAGCAAGCTTTGTTATTAATTTTGCAGTGTGTTCGATTCCATGCAAAATCATGGTTACCAGCTAGGTCCATTGTAATGGAGACCCTTGAAGCAAGGCATGCTGTTGATCCTAGTGGAGAAATATTAGTTTTGACAAAGTTCTGTCCTGTGAGTTGTAAATTCTTGTATCCCACATGTAGTGCTGTAGTAGTCCCTGTATACTATTTAAATTTAATGTAGTTATTTCACATTCATTCAGATGATGTTTTTGCAGAAATCATGATTTGAATGCATAGAATATAAACTAGGGATGGAACACAAACTAATAATTACTAGAAATTGCACACCTCACCCCTTGCAGCCCATAGGTTAGTGGCAAGCTCGGCCAATAAGTGGGAGGCTCATCATTTATAAAATTGTTTTCATGGTTAATGTCAGAGATAGTTATGTCTTCAAGAACATTATTGAAGACTTCCTGAAAATGTAGGAGGGAAATATATTACCCTGTGAAATTTCTTGGTGGTGGCTGCCCTTCAATCCTACATCCATCCCTGATTAATCTCTTAAGTGATTCTTTATATTATGAGAAAGCAAAACGAGAAAAATTGTGAGTGTATTTCTTATTACGTGCTTTTTTCTGGAAAGAATACAATTAACAGAATCGACCTTTCATCTGTTGATTATGTTCATTTTCACATAGCTAATGACTCTTATTGCCAAAAGCATTGGTTGTGCTTGGTCTCTTCTTCCTTGCCAAATTGAGTTTTTCTGTTTTTTGTTTTACATTTTGATCCATTTTCTGTGCTTAATCTAGTAATTGGGTAGCAAGAGACCTCCTGGATGTTAAGTCTTTAGCTGGTGCGCAACGTCTATGTTGATCTTAATGTTTACTAAACAAGCATGATAAGCATTAGCTAATACTATGACATAAAAGAGCAGATAAGATGCTGTTGCAGCTGCATATGGCCTAGAATGCATTAACACGAGCTACATGGTGTATTTGCAAGAAAATTTGAACTTCATGTTTTATCTTGCAGTGGAAGCTTCACTTATTTGAGCTTGAGGAGGAGATGAAAATTGACATTCCCATCAAATATGTTCTCTATACGGTACACTCATCCTTAACCTTTTTTTTTTTTAATAATAATTTGGTTCTTAGTACTACCAATTAATCCAGATTTCAGCATTGTCGAGTCTCAAATGGGCTAGTTCTCCTGATGTAATCTGTTCTTAGTTATGTGTTTGGCTTGTTCTTCAAGGTATCTGCATGTAAAGGTTGCCACTTTAGGTATTTATTTATTTTTTAAATGTAAGAAGAAAGTCTTTGCCAAAAATGAACTTCTGTTGAGAGAATATTTTCAAGAGGACATGAAAAAAAATTGATAAACTACAGAATTTTTTCATTTTAACCAATTCAATCAATTTGAAAAAGTTTTTGACTGTGTATCAAAAGAAGTATTTTGGAAGGCCTTGGAAAAGAAGAGAGTCTGTATTGCCTATATTAAAGTTATACAAGATATGTATGAGGGACAACAACTAATATAAGAACGTTTGGCGGTAAAACAAAGAACTTTCCTATAAGGATTGAACTACATTAGGAATCATATTTGAGTTTTTATTTGTTTGATTTAGTTAGATGTTTTGGCTGAGCATATTTAAAAAGAAATCTCCAAATGCATGTTTCCCGTAGATGATCTAGTCCTTATTGTGCAGACAAGAGGAGAGATTAACTGTAAATTTAAATTGTGGAATATTTGCTTTGTAATTTTCAAAAGAGGTTGGTGGTAATTTGAAAGTGAAATTGGGAGATCATGCTATATCTCAAGTGAAAAAGTTTAGCTATTTGGAAGTTATTATTCAACATGATGGGGAAATTAAAGGGATATTGCACGTAGGATATAAGTTGGGTAGTTTAATTGGATAAAGACTAGAGGAGTTATTTGCAATCATAAGGTACCTAATAAATTTAAAAGGAAGTTTTATTGAACTGTTATAAAACCAGTTATATTATATGGTAGTGAATGTTAGGCAGCAAGAGCATAAAGTTGAAATAATAAAGATGAAAATGTTTAAAATATAAAAATAAAATTCAAAATGAGCACATACATGAAAAAGTGAGCTTATAAAGTTGAGGGAAAAATGGTAGAAAATCATAGTTTGAACATGCACAAAGAAGATTGCGAAAGGCATGAGTGAGGAGAGTGGAAAAGATAATTTTGAACCTTTGTTAAGAGGTAAAAAAAAATTAAAGAAAATACTTTTGGAAGTTGCTAACTAAGATTTTTTAATTACCAACATTTTTAAAAGTTTGGTATATGATAAATCATAATAGTGTTATACAATTCATGTAGCTTATCCTACCTAATGTGATAAAGCTTGTTGTTATAACCAATTCAATTAATTTGTAGTGCGGATAGATGAACAAGTAGGATCAATGTTTGATCACGCTCTGGCTTGTTTTTGGTCTAATGAAGTTCGTATCTCTTATGAATTAGTAGGCTTCAGTCCTTATATCATCACCAGAACTTAACGTTTCCTTGTTAAGATTTGTTAGGTCGACACATCTGAGATGTTCTGACTTGAGCTGATTTTTCCTTATCTGAATGCCTTTTACAGGACGAGAGAAACAAAAACTGGCGAGTCCAGGCAGTTGCAGTGTCTCCCGATAGGTTCGAGAGCCGAAAACCTCTACCATCACAGTGGCAGGGTCTAAGAGATGATGAGTTGTCAAGGGTGGCTGACATTCCTGGTTGTGTTTTTGTGCACATGAGTGGATTTATTGGTGGACACGAAAATTTTGATGGTGCCCTAGCCATGGCCAGAGCTGCTTTGAAGATGTAATTGGACAAGGGATCTTAAGTCAAAGTCTGGTGGTTCAATTTTGCAAAAAGCTTTCCAGGATTTGAGGATATAGTTTATCCAATTGAATTTGAGGCACGACACTATATTTTACATGTAGTTTCTTCTCCTCATAGTGGCTTGTAGAGAGTTATGAAGGGGTGTCAATCTTTTTAATTGACATTTTGGAAGTTTCAGGCAGATTGATCTTGTTCTGCTGCTAACGGCACCATTTTGTGTCAAAAAATCCAGTCTTTTGCAAAGATCAATTTCGTAAGCCAGTAAGGCCTAAATCTTTCCTTTTGAAAGAATTATATGCAGGTTTTATATAAAAAAATTAATTATTACAAAATTTATTAACAATTAAATTAAGGTAACTATATTGTCAATGGTTTTGCAGTAGTTATTAATGGACTTTGGAATAATTATTTTTTTTACGAGACTTCAATGTAATCTTTCTTGTTTTTTTGTTCCCTTCTTGATCAAACGCAAATCATATGAAAATCAAAAGAGTTCTGTGAGAAGCTGATTTTACAGTTAATTAGATATACTAGATTATTAGTTGAACTAACATGTAACAACGACCGAGAGCTTTGGGGAGAAAAAATGTCATGTAAGATGAAACGAATGGATAAGGACCTTCCAAATAAAATGCCATACAAAGAAATTTCAAAGGGCAAAATGATTAGAAGGACAAACGTGGAAGACTAGAACTGTAGAAGCGAAATTTTAAACGACCGCCTCTTTGTAGTATCAGAAGTGCATGTTCAAAAAAATGTCAGAGGCTACTCTTATTATTGTCATTCACTTTAATCTTGTAGGGCTAAGTCAGTATATCCATTCAAGTTTGAAATATCTCTCATCTAAAATATAGAATAGTTATAACTACTTACAAAAATTTAAAAATTTATCACTACTCCCCAAGATTACTCTTCAATTTCTCTCTTTTTGGTTACCCAAGATATTTTCACTACCAGCAACCATAAGACTAATCCTTTAAAAAATTTAAGTGTCATTTAAGTAGCTTTCATCTCCTAAGTAATATTTGTTTCGGTAAACATAATTTTTGATCTCCGTATTTTAATCACATTTTGCTTTTGGTTCATATATATTTTTTTTTAGTATTTTAAGTTTTTACACTTTTGTTTTATATTGTTTTGGATCTTTTCAAGATCCATATACTTTGCTCATAGAAAGATAAAAAATAATTAAAAATAAAAGTGTAGAAACCTAAAACATAAAAAAAAAGAATATATGGACCAAATGTAAAATGCGAGTAAAATACAGATATCAAAAATTATATTTTTCCTATTTTTTTATATATACCTCTAGAAATCAAATCATAAATAATCTTTCACGACAATGCAATTAATAAGGTATTTGTGAAAAAATAATTTGATGTTATTAACTTTTTATAAAGTGTTATATATTTTAGATCAACATTAATAGGTAAAATTTGTCTCATATTATAAATAGGATAAAATAACAAAGATATTCAATCATCCTCACAGACTCATTCACCAATTTCTTTTCTTGAAAACTCAAAACTGGCAATTCAATAGATTAAAGAAGAAGAAGAGAAAATTAAAACAATGGGCCCGTTAATCAACCAAGATTACAAAACAACAACATGATTTGAGCTAACCTCCTTTCATCATCTACCAATAAAAGGTGCAGAAATTATCTGTCCAATTGACAGCGTGTCTAACCAAAAAGTGGCCATAGAAGTTAGCCTTCCTATACATAAATTTGAAAGACACATCCCAATGCCTATACAAAAGAATTCAAGCAAAATCCAAGAGCACGTCCGCAAGGATGGTGGGCAATGGCATAATCATATCCAGGCAACCAAGGAAATGGGCTCATTACATTTGAAGGGAAAGAATAAGATGAAGATCAGGATTTCAGACAAGCACTATTCAACAAAGACAGCAAGTCACAGAGAGGCCCCACAAAATGCTTCCCACTTTGACTGTTCATGCCCCACGAGTGAATGAATTAGTGATTGCGATTCAGATTCAGATCTCTCTCTCTCTCTCTCTCTCTCTCTCTCTGTGATATTGCAGCGCCTCCGCCGCAACAGCAAATACCTGCAGCCTTCCAATCTCAGTATTTCCTAATCACCACCCATCTCCACCTCACCTTTCAATTTTCTACTACTTCTGTTCAAATGTTTCCAATTCTGACTTAAAAAAAAAAAAAATGGAAACGTACTGTTCCTTCCCTTTTAAGACAATTTTATGCCATTTAAAATATTTTATGAATATTCAGTTTTGAGAAACCTGAATTGTCATGACTTTCTCTCATTCAAGAAACTGCAAATTAATTATTGCTTTGACTATAACTCTAAAATCCACACACTTTGCTTCTTGATCCAAAAAATATACCTCGGAAACTGTACTTCTGCTTTGACTTGGCAACTTTCACTACCACTCACTTCTGATGCTTGCTCCAATAATTTATCCACTTTTCCTTTTTTTTTTTTCAATATCCTTTTCTTATTAGCAGTACTGAACTCCTACTTTAGAAGATGATCCATTTTTCCCTTTGTGACCTTTTAACGCTTCTTTTAAAACCATAGCTTAACCGCTTAACTGAAAGAGACCTCATCGACTTTCTCTGGTAGCTTGAAAAGGATATGCCAAGATTAAATAAAAGGATGGGCCGCATGTGGGCCATTGATTTTCATATGCCAGCAACAAAGAACCATCCGCGTTTCTCATGTGGACAAGTTGTCATCATTTTTTTAAAAAATAAACAAAAAATTGATTCGATTAAGAATAATAGTATAACATATATCAAACTTCAAATTTAAAACAAAGAAAATGTTTGTATTTTCTATAATTAAAATTGAGGTTCAATCTAAAATATAAAAACCTAAACAAGCAGTACTATTTATCTAAGCTATGAATAATTTAGCTTAAGTGTTGAACGGTGATTTGTGTAATACTTGAGGCCCCATCTAAATGAAAGAAATGAATGACCATTAAATCCAGATTAAGCAAAATCTTCTTTTAAAATTCATGTTTATTTGTATTTGATTATTGAATGAAATAAAGACTCGTGATGATATAGAATTAAAAAACAAAACAAAACTTATCATGTTGAAAATTATGACTAGGAGTTGGTTTCATGCTGAATAAATGATTATCAAGCAACACAAATTGAGATTGAAATCTTCAACATTCTTTAAGAAAATAATTTCACCAACCAAATAAGAGAGCATATGCAAAAATTTAATTTGAGCCCCCCAAAAAATGATTGGCCAAAAAAAAAACTTGAGCCCCACTTAATTTTTAATTTAATGTGCATCATTCATAGTTTTTCCTCTCAAGTTAATACCGTTAATCCATAACTTCTCCGTTACAGTACTGCCCAGTTGATCCTTCACATCAACTTCACCGTATTTGCGGGCACTTATTTTATTAGTCTATTCAAGGAGGCGGCCAAAAAATAAAATTTAGTATTTACACGATACTGGAAGATGGTCCAATACATAGAGATGAATATGGATGATACGTATGCATGTTCATTTTGTTGAATTCAATAATCAAATGGCCTGCCTTGCTCAGCACTAATTTAATGCCTCCTCCTCTATGTATTGACAGATGCTGATGAATCACTCTCTTTTATTTGGTTCTCTTGATTGTTTCTTCTCACCTTATGTATATAACATTGGCATTCTGGGATGTGCCACCTTAATGCTTTTAACAAGTTGTTGTCATCACTCTTATTGTTCCTCTCCCCTCACCCCCCCCCCCTTTAATATCCACAATAAATAATGGGTCAATCAAAAGAGATATTTGGTTGTTGAAGATCAATTCAGCAATAAACTTGAAATATTCTCCATCCTGTGATCCTCTTAGGTGGCCTTATTTATATTTTATGTTCCAAATTCATTCAGTAACATTAGTGTTTAACATCTTATGGGATTAAAAAATAGGTTAATTTAGATACAAGGAAGTTGATCTAGCCTCCTCTCTATGCATTGTTATTGTCATTTTTGTTATTATACCAAGAAATAAGGAATTATTTCAATGAACACGTTTACTGCTTAGATTCCAAAACATTACAACAGAGTCTGCATTTGAGAAAGCTAATATTTGTTTATGATTGTTTCGGTAATTGTGGACCATGGGGAATTGCAGATGCAACTTGCCTGAGCTTTGAGGATTTAAAATTTGGGGGAACACGATCTGGGAGGAGGACAAGAAAAACCTGGAGGATCTTACATTAATTACCTGCACCTCCTGGCAAGTACAATCATGGTTATCAGCAAAGTAAAATAAAAAGAATAAACCAACTACGGAGATCAAGATTCTTGCTTTGACCAATGATCTGGATGCTGCTTCATCTTGAGTATCTGTCACAGTTTTATATACTGTATTTTATTATAAAAATCACATCTTTTGGAGATGGATCAGAGATGGCATTATCTCTTCAGCATGCAGGGGAAAGAAAATGAGAAATGAAACAGAAAACTGCAGGTTGAAACCAAGAAAAGAAAAGAAAAAAGGCATGAACTTTATGCATACCTATTTCAATTTTTATGAGAATGTGTCATGGATCCAAGGGGCACCACCTCCAAAGAGTGCAGAGAACACAGAATCTGAAATGAACCCAGAAAAACTGAAACTGTGAGATGCAAAAGAAAGAGATTGAGTAGAAGAAACCACGAACAGTGAATAGCAATATATGATTGAGAGAGAGAGAGAAGCACTGAAAAGTGAAAACATTTTCAGCTGGGGAAAGCACCCTGTGAAGTATGAACCATGAAGATCTTGACATCACAAGTGCGTAGACAGTCCTTTATTTATTTATTTTTTTTTATTTTCACTTTCTGGTGATTGTGCTTTTCCCAGGACATCAAAGAGGATTCTGTTGATTGCAGTAAATTTGTGTAACAGTAAAACAGTTCCATTCCCCCACCTTTTAAACATGGGATTGATTGATCAAACTCAGTCTCTTTCTTGCATCTATTCAAGAAAGGGAAGCCTGCTTTCTCCACGCTTGCTTATGCAAATCTGCAATATGGCAAATTCTCTATCATGTTCATAGCTATCTGTGTATCAAAGCCGGCTAGTTGGGCCAGAGACCAAACCCAGAAATTATCAGTTTATATGCAAAAGATTAATTGGGATTAATCAGTTTATCTGTCTTCACCACCCATCATCCATCATTTCACTTCTGCATTCATCATTCAATGGCCCTCCAAGAGAAAAAGATTACATTTATTACCAGCAACGCTATTTATATCAAGAGATAAATACAGCATCAGCCCTATTTTCGGATTCAACCCTGAAAGATAACAAGAGATTCCAGTTCAACCCAAAAAAAGGAAACAAAACTGGTTAAAAAAAACCCTAAGCAGAAAGGGGAATGTGACAGAGAGGGTGAGAGAGAGGGAAGCGAAAAAAAAGGTAAGGGGGAAGGTATAGACAATGGTGGGTCTAAGCCTCTCAGCGAATAGCTGTACAAACAGCTCAGCATCACACTGCACTCTCTTTCCCCACAATCCTTTTCCTTTCTTTTCCTTTTCTTTCCGGGAAAAAAATTGGGAATTTGGGCGAAGAAACAAAGGACCGACTCGATGAGTCAACTCAGCGAACCACCGTTCTCTAGGCGAGTCGCCACGCCGACGTCGCGATCAATGGCCGAGTATGCCAGCCCAGCAGCAGACACCCATCGTTCTCTTCTACTCTGTAACCATCTCCACCGGCGAAGAGAGCCAGGAGCATGCTTGCTTGTTTGAAAGCGTTGGAACCCAGGTGAACCGGAGCGAACCCGGCAGAACCCAACCGGTTCCGCCACTGGCTCAGCGTCTCATGCCTCTCAATCCGGTCCGCCCCTTCGCAGGCAACCACGTTACAGATTTGCTTCCCCAGATACACCTCCGACATGATCTTGTCCTGAGTGTCCACTGATCCCTCCAACGAGTCAAACAGGGTCGAGTAATAGTGCAGTGACTCCGTGAACCGGTCCAGGAAACCCGGTCCATTGTGGTTCGCTTCTTGCTCTACGACGGTGACTATCTCCGGCTTCATCTGCTTCACCACTGATAACACCTTATCGATCGCACCGGGTCGCGCCAACAGTTTGTGAAGCTCGAACACCGAGTTAACAGCCACTGACTCCACCTCACTCGGTCTGAGGTCGAGCATCGAAGCATCTAGATCAGCTAAACTGTTCGCCACGAACCCTCTGTACTCAAATTTAACGTGAATCGTTTCTGCTAGCTGGGCGAGTTTCCAACCAACTTCCTGAAGGTGATCTGAATTATCCGGTGCGGGTGGTCCGATTCCTGTTAACCGAAACGCCGGTGGTCCGCCGGGTCGGAGAGCCAGTGCTTGCATGAGAGCCGGCCATTGCATCCCTTGATTCATACTGAAATCGATGACATGAACTCGCCTTTTGCCTTGGAAGGCTTCCAGGATAGCCTGGTTGGCGGTGAAATGGGCGAATTTGAGATATGGACAGGTCTCGTAGAAGTGAATCTGTAGCATGTCGGAAAGAGAATGGTCGAGGGGGTTTTCTGGGTAAAGCCGATATATGCGGCGAGCAAGCGCTTCGGCGAAGTAGGTCGCAACCTTGCGCATCGCTCCGGCCTGAGACACCGCGAGGAATCCGATCTGTTTGACTAAAGCTTCCGCAAGAGCGAAATTGTTCTGGTGTACGGCATCCGCGCAAGCCATCAACGCATGAACGAGTCGAATTCCGTTTTCTTGCGAGTCGACGAGGACAACAGGACGGGTCGACTCATTTGTCAAGGTAAAAGAGCCCAGAGAAGAGGGCAAGAACAATGCAGGGTTGAACACAGTGGAAGAGGGTTTCAAACGTTTGCTTTCTCGGGAAGGAGATTCGAGTTGCTGCGGGTGCTGGGCTTGAGTTTGACTGTTGTAGATAGCTTGGCCAGGAATAGCCTTGAGATCATAATCAGAGGAAGATGCGTCTTCGAAGATTAAGCTATCTTGGTGCTTATGCAGAGGAAGAGGATTCAAATGTTGGTGCTGGCTATGGTCAGTGAAGTCAATGGAGGTAACAGTTGATGACTCAGCTGGAGCCAAGAACGAGGAATCATCAGCCTGAGGAGGCGGAGGCGCAGGGAGGGGGGGCGCAGAGACGGCGCCGGCGACGGCAGTCAAAGAGTCGAAATTGGGAGATGGGTTGAGCTCAGAAAGCATGCTTTCAAGCCAGGTAGATAGATCAGAAGGGTTGTAATGGACAGTTTCAGAGGAGAGCTGAGAGATACCGCCCTGAACATTACCCATAGCTTCTTCTAGCTGTTCGAGCTTCTGGGCAACATCCGCCATGTCCGACGACCTCACCTTGTAGCCAAGCACGGCGAGAAGCTCGTCCATGCCACCGTCTTGAGCCTCATCTTCCCATAGCTTGGATTTCCCGCTAGAGCTGGCGGTCATGAATGGGTCGCCCGGGTTGGGACAGAGCTGATGATGCTCTCTTTTCATGGCTGGTTGCTTTTCCTCGTGATTTGGGGCTGAGGATTTAGTTTCAGATTCAAAGGGAGCTTGGCGATTGAGAGCGATTTATCTTCCTTCGATTAGTGGGGGTGCTCAGAAACCCAGAGGGTGAGGATGAAGATGAGGCAGTCGCTATGAATGGTGAAGAATCTGAGCATTGGGGATTGGGGCTCTTTGGCTCCTTGGCATAGTTTTTTCACCACTACTAGTACTGCAAATTATTCACAAAACAGCAAATCGGAATAATTCGAAATGCACAATAATATCGAAACTAGACTTTAAAAATAAATATTTAAAAAAGAAAGAGAGAGAATATGAGAATATTATTCAAAAGCGCTCGTGATCAGGCGCGACCTCCCATGAACACATCAGGCGAACAATAACACCAACAACATCAGCTCAAACAGATAAGATCCAAAATATACAATTTTAATTTTTTTTTAACTTTTGCCATATTTTTCATTTCTTAGATTTGCTTTCAACTGTTTTCGTTCAAAAAAAAAAAAAAGATTTGCTTTCAACTGTTGGCTCCTAAGTAATGTGCACTTGAAAATTGAATATTGGAGATAAAGGATTTTTCTTGGTTCACTGAAGGTTACCATTAAGGGGTTTCATTTATTTTGGAGCTTGCTGGGGACCAGAGTCTAGAGACACAACTAGTCTTCTAGTTTTACCATTAAAAATACAAATTTATTAGCTGCATTTAGTGTGGAGAATTTGATATTTCCTTCTATCGTGTTTACAAGTGATTTTATCTACTTTATGAAAATCGATGAGTTAATTAAATTAATGTTAATAACGTTGTACAAAAAAGAAAAAAAATTTCTGAATTTGCTCTTTTTTTTTGGCGAATAATTTGGTCTTGTTAAATAGTAGTCCGTTGTTTTGAAAGACGCTTTTCATCTCATATAAATTTTTACCCTCTATTCATTGAAAAATGTAAAATGATAAAATTAAAAGAAAGTAATTGGTGATACATATTTTTATACCAAATAACTTATTAGAAGGATCATGAATTTTGTTTAAAATGTGACTCTCATATAGAATCACATGGAGCACATAACATGCAGTGGACTGATTCATTAACCATGCCAGTGCGCGTTGATTTTTGGATGTTTTTACTGTGAGTTTTAAGTTGCTTCAGTATTTTCATAATCATTACATTGATTGTAAATAATTAGTATTACAATCGTATAAATAATCAAGTTGATTTGTATAAGAATTTTCCTCGTTTTATATGAAATTCTACAAAATTTATGACGTTGGTATTTTTAATTTTTACCTGTAAATCTGTAATTAGAGCTTTTCTTTAATTTTTACTCTGTTAAATGAAACAACAACGACAACAACAATGATGTTGTTTGACATCTTTGAATAGTTGAATGGTATTGAAACCTAGAGGGGGTCTTCAACTTTTCATCAGGCAAGTGCTTTTGTGTGGAAATAGAAGGCCGTAACTTGATCTAAATTCTAGGGATACTATAAATAATGCCAAAATGTATTTTAATGTATAATTTTATAATCTTATTGATACATGGAGATGACTGATCAATATACGGCTAAAAGAGGTAAAATTATCCCAAAGCATGTTCAAGAGGCTATCAATGCCTTTGTTGTTTGATTTTTCTCAGTGCTATTGTTCTTGTTTTTAATATATCAATCAATATCCCTATAAAATGTGTTAAAAAAAATCTCACTTTTTATAAATTGTATCATAAATTATATAAATATATTGTGTATATAATGTAAAATATACCAGACGATATCCTGCCTATGAACGACGATAGCGTGACTCGCGTTAAATTTCTTTTACACACACACACACACATTTAACTGAAATGATAATTTTTAAAATTTTAAAAAAGCTTATCGTTCAATTCATTTACAAACTGGATGTTTTTCTCTCGAGTCTTGAGGGGTCACTGAAAAATGTCCTCTTTCCTCCAGGGGTGGTGCTTTTGACCCACAGTAGAATTCAGTTTTGTCACTTGCCATTGGCTGCTTATTTTCACTTTTTCACTAATAATACTATTTTTATTTACAGTTTATTTTTTACATATTCATATCAGTTTTAAAATCACACACACACACATAAAATAGTACCTGTTATTATTTTATTACACACAAATGGTTATTTTTCAATTATATACTGTGCCAATTTTTTGTTAAAATTATCCTCCATCCTATTTATAAGAATGAGGGAAAGATTTTTTAATTTAAAAGTCATTTCATTATTTTTTTTATCACAAGCTTCTAACTTTATCCCAATTTTATGCTGGCTGAAGAAAGTATTCAAACTCCATTAATATTATAAGATACTTGTTTTTTTGAAGTATTGTGTTAAAAAAAATAAGATATTTTAATTCTTTTAAAGTGTAATTGATAAATTTATTTTTTTCTGAAAATACTTTTAACAAGGAGTGTGATTAATGATATTTTCTAATTAAAGCATCTTGCTAAATAAAGGCACACATGAAAGAATGCATAATTTTGATCACCATGAACAAACTTAATGAAATTATAAAATAGTTAGAAGTTCAATTTAATTATGAAAGAAGAGAGTAGCATGAAAACAAAGTATGTACATTTAATAATGATAAAATTAAAAATTTATTAAAATTTAAAGAGAATTAATTAATTTAATCTTTTTAATTTAAGTAAAACATGTGTGGGGAAAAAATGGATGTGCCGGGGCACTCCTAGTTTTTTCTATGCTGTTTCTAGTGCAGAGCAAGGCTTTTGAATTCACACGGCCTGATCTGTGCTGCTGGGGTATGATTGTTTATAGTAATTTTTATAAATAATCTTTTTTTGCCAACACATCATTAATAATCACACGAGGCTTTCATTGTTAGTGCTAAATACTCAGCGCTCAACAGAGGATGATTGAGCACCAAATATTTAAGAGCCATCCATAAAGTCGTAGTTGGATGAGAATAAACGAGGCCCAGAATCGATAATTAAGGTGTAATTAAGTCAAAGCAATTGATCATTAATCATTCCCTCCACTTTACTCCTCCTAGTGATCTGTATCTATCAAAATTTACTTCACTGGAACAGCTTGGGAGAAGCGCGTTGACATCAGCGCGTGGAGTTGAACGTCCATTATCATTGATCTAATGTCAACTCTGCCCCACACAAAGGAGACCGTTTGACAACAACGGCCCCGCCGTCGACGTCAGACGCCACCAACGGCCGTCCAAACTTCATCTTCCCAACTCTACCACAGAATTTTCCATATCCTCCTCCAATTTAGCATATAAATCATTTTTAAAAATATAATTTAATTTATTTTATAAGTTATTTATTAATAAAATTATTTTATTTTAAATTAAAATTTTTAAATTACTCTTAAAAGGTAAAAGAAATAAAAAAATAATATTATATAATCGACTTACTTTTTATTTAAAAGTTATGTTTAAAATTTTATTTATTTTCATTTTTTATATTTTTTTTATATTAATATTGATAAAATTAATAAAAATAATTTATAAATAAAATCAGAGGTACTAACGTCGATAGTTAATTGATCTCCTTTGCTCTCATTCATATGTGCATGCGTGTCCGCGCGCGTTTAATTAAATGTTATTTAAGTATTCTTTTCAGTTTTTAACTGACGCCTTTGAATTGTTTTAAAATTTCTATCTTACCATAAAATTTCAAGAAAACATCAATCGCCGTTATTCTCTTTATAAATTCATCTTTTTAATTTTTTAGAATTTTAAATGACGCATAGATTAAGATAGCGAGCTCAAAAGGGGCATCGTGTATGTTTAGATATGTTGATTTTTGGATTTCACCTGTATATTTACACTTACATATCATGACAGTCCAGTTTCCATACACTACCTAAATTATAATTATTAATATAAGTACAGTATTATAAGCATGTATAACATGAACTGTGAAAAAAAACTACTCTCTTCATTAAAAAATATATAAAATATTTTTAATTGAATCTTACCTTTTAATAAAATAATTAGTTACTTTTAAACTAATATCATCTTTTTATATTTACGTCAATTTAATAAGATTTCATTTTAAATTAAATATAAAGTGATATACGTTAAGAATATCTAAAAAATATTAATTATACTTTAAAATATTAAAAAATTAACATCAAATTTTTTTTAAAAAAAAAGAGCTTAGCATTTTTTGATGGATGGAATGTAATGAACATCCTATTAGTATGGCGTAAATCATTTTACCAGTATTTCTCATAAAATATCAAGCAACAACGCACAAACACACACTATCATAATTCAAAGTAATGATAATATTAAAAAACAACATGAGTATCAATTTAAATGCCCTGCTTACTAGAATAAATAAATATGGCATTGAGAGGAGCACGGTTCCGCTAAATTGAAAGCCTCTTGACCTCTATCAAAATCTCTCTCTCTCTGTTTTTCTCTGCAACAAATGAAGGACATTAAAGAGGGGCTTATTAAATCATCAAATACATCAATATAAAATGTGAAAAATTATCATTTAAAAGAATATGTTATTTTATAATTTAAAATCAATATACAGTCGATTCTGAATTTCTCATACTCCCAGCCCAGGTTAGGTAGCAGACTCACATCTAGTGCGCCGTAAAAATCAAACAAGGGTCTCACGCATGATAATAATACTTTTATTGACCTTGTTTTCGGTATACAGCATTCAGCAATGATCGATACAAGTTTATGAAAAATACCGTCCTCTTAATAGGAACTTCTTATCCTGATCACGCAAATGGAAAATGGTTAAAATTAGCAAAAAAATTGCCACAATATTTTAAATTGATCCTATATATGTTTTAGTCGTCAGCTTTTAATTTAAAGTCAAAAAGTCAAATATACATCACCAAAACAAGGGAACATGATAATTATAAAGGAGATATTAAAAACAATAAGCGTTTCATAAAATAACTTTTGTAAACATGCATGAATGATAGAATTAAATCTTGAAAGATATTTTATAAATTTTTATAGTAAATAGGGTTGGATGAAGTATAATCCAAGTAATATGCTATTTTCAATTAAATTTTAAATAAAATATATTTTTTATTTAAAAATATAAATTATGTTTTAAAGAGTTAAATGTTAAAAAATATAAAGTATTTTTAATATTTTAAAAAATAATTAATGTATTTTTTAAAAGCACTTTTAATAAATAAGTCATTTTATTTTTATTTAAAATAAAATATTTTATTGAATAAAGGTAAATATAAAATGATGATTTTAATTTAAATATAAATAATTATTTTATTAAAAGATAAATTTTAATTAAAAATGGTTTTTATTTTTTTAACGAAGAAAGTAGTTTTACTTATCATTACTAATACTGTTAAACGAAAATAAAATACCAGAACCAGAGGATTTTTTTTTTTTTTTTGTTTTTTTGGGGGTAAATGAACCGACGGAATTTTTCGTTAGAGGAGGGGAGCGAAAAAGAGGTGAAACTGAGCGGACACATACCCCACAACCATCCTGAACTGTCAATACCAGCTGTATCTGGGCCCCGCACCATGTGATTGGACACGTGTTACCACTTTCAATCCCCCACGCGGGCCCCTCCCACATTGGACGCTGTGTCCCCCCGCCTCTCGTACTGGGCATCTGCCTGCTTGTGCCTGTCGTTCTCATCTATTATACAAGTATTATTTCTCATATTATATAGGAGCCTACTCCATAATATAATACTATAGTTATTATAAAAATATATTGCTGATGATGGGACCATGAGTGCCACGTATACATTGATTTCATATCAATGCTCCCTTCAGTCCATTTACAAGACAAATTCTATTAAAATTATTTAATTTTACTTATAAGTTATTGTATAACTTTTTAAATAATATTTAAAAAATATTTTAAAAAATATTTTTTTATAGAAGATAAAAAATAATATGACATTATCTTTTGAATTTATTATGTAAGAGCATATTTAAAATTTATATACTATTATTCTTTTTATTTTTTTACATTGATATTGATAGAGTTGATAGAAGTGATTTATAAAGAAAATTAAAGGAGTACTAAATAATATGGAAAAGATAAATATAATAAATAAAATTTTCCTATTCATATAAAACACATAACATGAGAAAGATAAATAAAATACAATGATCAAGTAATTCATTGACATTGTGCTAATAAATATCTTCAAATAAAAATTTTTTAAACTTTTTTTTTGAGTTGAAATTAAAAATAAAGGCAAAAAAATTGGAGAGATTAATTTGTTGTTGACCTCATAAGTATGAAAATAAATAATACTTAATCAAAATTAATGAAAAAGTGTTGGATGATTCATTTTTTGTAATAAAGTTATCTAGCACTTCTCAAAAAAATATTTAATTAAATTAAAGTTATCTAGCACTTTTCCAAAAATAATTTATGACTAAATTTACATCTTCACACATGTTAACGTGAAATGCCCGTAGAATGCCACATGTTATTATGGAACTCATATAATATCTGTCAATTAAAGTTAACGGCATGTTATTGAATACTTTATTTTTAAAAGTTCAAAATTTATTTCACATTGCTTAGTAATTTAGGTTGGCAGACGTTTTTAGAAAACTAGTTCAGATCTAAATTTGCTACTTTACCTATTTATGTTTGGTTCAATATCTTGGTAATAAAAGCACGCCTGTGAATTCAATATACGATGAATGATCATGAGGCCAGTATAGCAGGAAGGTAAGGCCCTTCTCGCAAAAGGATGAGGGAAATGGAGATAGAAGAGTCGTCAGGATTGAAGCCAACAATCGTGAGAGTAAATCATGGGAATGAATGCCTGGGGAAAAAAAAAAAAATCTCACCCACCACTGTGCACATTTGTTTATTTTATTAATGTTTATAATTTATTCAGGGAAAAATCGCTAACAAAGACCTCAACACAAATTTATTCACTCGTGAAAACTTGTGACATATTTTAGAAGAACAGAGACGAATCAAAGGGGGCAAGGAGGGGCTTTTCCCCCATACATGTCACCACACTGGCATAGTAAAAGGTTTTTATTTTTTTTTTCTTTGTGAAATAGTCGAACTGGATTTTGGCCCCTCATTTTTTATTTTATTTTCAGTGTGGTCCCCAACCATGAAATTCTAGATCTGTCCTTGCAAAAGAAGGTCGTATGTTATCAATATTTTACTCAAGGCTATTCATCGTCAATATCTTACGAGGTTTTCTGTCATCGATAATTTTGATGTCAATATATGTCAAATAAAGTCACTCAATGCCAATATATCAAATAAGGTTTTTCAGTGTTAGCACTTAGCACGTCAAGATCTTTATAAAAACAAAGTGTTCCACGATATCAAACACCCTTCAAGGAAATTTAATCTAACTTCCATATATTCAAACACAATTACATGTCTTAAAAATTATGCTTGATATCAAATTTTTATATTGCAATTTTAAGGATATGTAAATTGCCTATTTTCAGGATTGAAGTGCTTGGCCTTTGTGGTTTTGTTGTCGCCTCTACAGCAAATAATGAAGGAAAAATCAGTGCAAAACAAAGGATGAAGGGCATGAAGAATAACCAGCAAATCGCAAACACGAAGAAGGAGGAAGAAGAAGAAGAAATACCTCGGCCATGAAGAAGAAGAAGAAGCAGACACAACGGCAGCGAGCAAGCGGCAGATCTGAGATGAGAGAGGAAGAACCGGAAACAATACGAGCTGAAGACTCAAGACTCACGATGTACCTTCTTCACTCCCTCTCCCACCGTCTTCAAAACCAATACCTCACCTTATTCTCCTTTGTCGCCGTCGAAATCACGACGACCCATCATCGCTGTCAGAATCATGGAGCTGCAGCCAAACAATGGGGAGCAGAGCGGATCCGTAAGAGGTGAGGGAAGGGTACAGGATTGGGTTAAGGGCCCTCAGGTCTTTTGCTCGTTTTATTTTATTGACACCAGAAGACCCATGTCCTTCGTTAAATTTCAAGTCCTTCTGAGCAATAAATATTATGCTTAAGTCCTTTTAAGCAATTTTATTTTTATTTATATCTCTCTTTTTCCCCTCCTTTTATCACATCAAGCGTTATTCAGTAAAATATTTTAATTTTTCTTATTCATACCGGATATTGCCTTTACATTTTCATATCCATATTCATGCTTGTTTCCACTTTTTAGAATCCTTTACTCCAGATGAAATCGGGCTGGAGGATAGTGTTTATTTATTTACACTTTGTTGAATTAATTACAATTAATTCATTTTTGCGTAATGCACAAAATAAAATTATATTGTTCGTTTATGAAGCTAAGCTGGATGTAAAATTTATATAGTACAGTGATATATTGATTGATATGCAATAACGCTGAAAAGTGTGAAATTCAACTTCCATTAATTCGTTGGCTAATTTTTTTTTTTAAATCCGTTAATCGGGCATGTAAACATAGTATGCTTGTTGCCTGTTATGTGGACAGTGGAGACAATTTTGAAATTCGGATAATCATAATTCTTCCAAACTATTATTACCTTTGTATAATTGTATTAAAATGATAAGACTGTATTGCTAATTATGAATAAATTTTTTTAATCTATTAAAAAAGAATTTAACATTTTGATGTTTTATTCGAGCGTATTAAATCCATGATTTCCAATTAATTTGCTTAATCTCTTTTACTATCATGCACAAAAAAAAAATTAAAATCTCAAAATGAAAAAAAACTTGTACATTTTAAGGGTCAATCATGCATCATGTTAAATTTTGAGATTTGAATCGACCCAAATGATGAAATTGTCAAACCGACACCCGATGTAAAAAAGATTTAATTATTTAACCTATTCTAATAGTCAACTTGAGTTAATCTGCTGTGATTTGGACAGGTTTTGAAAACCTTGAACTCAAAATCAAATGGTGAAATTATTAAATCGACACCTCATGTAAAAAAGATTTAACTATTTAACCTATTTTAATAGTCAACTTGAGTTAATCTGCTATGATTCGGGCAAGTTTTGAAAATTTTGAACTCAAAACTAGCTTGATCATTTTGAGCCATCTTTTTTTATATTTTTTTTATAAGAATCTTTTTATATTTTTACTCTTATTTCACTAATAAAATTTTTTATTCAATTTTAAAATATTAATGTCAACTTACTTTTGAATTATTATAATAAAATCTTGAGTGCAAGATTTTTTTTTAGGCATTATATGAACAAATATGTAGAGAAAATTAAAAATTCATTTACTTTAAACAAATAAATAATATAAATAAAAAAATATACATATAAAAAAAGAAAAAATTTAAAATTAAAATGTTATAACTAAACAACGTAACTCTGAACTAAAAATGATACTATCAATACTTTTAATATTATACACACACACATATATATATATATTATTTTTTATTTAATTATTATGATATAGATTCAACCATCCATCGATATAACTAATTAAACCACAATAACTACAACTTGCTAATTTTTTTCTGATTCATGGTTCAGCCTCAACTTTTAAAACACTGCATCATATAATAATAAATTACATGTGCTTGGCCACTTTGCCTGGCAGTAAAATGTGGGGAAAAGAACCGAAGTATTGGGGAAAGTAGTATATATACACAGATAAAGACATGTTTTGTGCACAGATAGGTCAAATATCGGATGCCCTGCTCAACAAGTCATTGTTTTTCTTAGTAATAATAACAATTATATATACACTACACATGCAGGTTATAGCCATAGCTTAGAATTTAAAAACCTGCCCCGTCGAATGATTAATGGCAAAGAGACCAAGTTCTAGGAATGTGATTGGGTTCAATGAATATGTTTAATAACTAGAAAATACTCAATTAATGAAAAGTATTCTTATTTACTCCCAACATATGATTTTAACAACAAGAGAACCTCAAACCTTACACTCACCCCCCCTTTTCTTTGAACAAATGATACCTGCAAAACCATTTTTTTTTTTAAAAAAGGATGCTCAGAAAAGTTGGTTGATATTTCCAACGGCTATTACCGCGTCTATAATTCTATATATGGTAATTTGGACAGTGAAGTACAAAAAAAATGTTTTCCAAAAGTCTCCGGCAACTAAAATATTTACCTGAATGCGCATACGGGAGGGATTTGCTCGCAAAAAAAGGAAAAAAAAAATAAATAAAATAAAATTAAAGAAAAGGTTAGCTGTCATCATATGATAATTTATTATTTTAATCTAATTAGTGGAACTATTTAGCATGCAATGATATTGAAAAATTCAGATTCGAGATTGTCAAGTATAAACTGAAGACAACATTTTTCCAACATAAGTTTTACTATCTGTGTGTTTTGAATAAATATACCTTGCAGGATGTAGTTTTATGAAAATTTCCGTTTTCTTCAAACGCTTCTACCTCATTTTTGCTTATCTGTGCAGCTAGAGTTTCGGAGGAAAAGGAATACATATTACCCATTGAAATCATTATGTACATATTGATTTCCTAAACAATAATTTTATCTGATTACTTATACACGCAAAATATACATGATCACATATAAAATTTCAGTATATTTTGAAATCACTGTGAAGAACATTTGCCCTCAATTTCACTACATGATTGTTTCGGACAACGGGTGTCATTGTGCGGCTACCATGTCCATGTTAAAGGATTTTAGTTTACGGCAAAATAAAAACTATTCCTGAAAAAGAATTTTTATAACAGTCACACCCCCCCGAGCCCACTGTTGCGAGTGGTGGACTGGGCCGTGCCACCTCACGGCAACCAAGCCTGCTTTCCCCATGGTAGTTCATGGGTTATTCCCCGCACCCACTGTGCTAAGGGAGCCTTCCTAGGTTCGATCCTCCAACCTCTCCTACATAGCGAAGTTGAGGCTGAACCTGGTACCATTGAGTCAACTTTATGTTGAATAAATATGATTTTTGAGGTTGTCAGTAGTATAATAAATGTTTTAGAGTATAAATTTATTGATGATCTTTGAATCTGTGGCTTATGGATCAAATTCTAAACTAGATCTGAAAATATATGTTGATTTATTAAGGTTTAGATGATTATTTGGGATGAGAAATGAATTATTATGGTTATAGGATTATGATTCTAAGCTAGAGACTTAATTTTTAATTTTTGGGTATTTTAGGTACGAATTTATGAAATAAAAAGAAAATTTTGATAATAGAAATTAGTTTAGAAGTTAATTTTTTTAGATTATTAATGTTTATTGATAATTAAAAGAGAATTTAAAAATTTTACTTAATAGTATTAACTCTAAATTTGTATTAAGATTGAGATTAGAAATTATGTTATATTTTTAATTCTATTATTAGAATTATTTTATTAGTTTCAAAAATTGAAACTAATATTTATAAATAATATGTTATTTGTAGATTATATTACTGGTGAAAATTGTGGTGAGAGAGAAATTTTAATGAATAATTTATTGAAAAAGCCACGAGGTAACCATGCTTTTAATTTATGATTAGTGTTACTTCATGTTAATTGGGTGATTATTGAGAAAATTATGAATTTTTTTTACATTGTATATTGTGCAATATTATTATAAATTTGTTTGATTATTGTGGGAGGTGTTGGGAGACTTGCTATTGTTGTTGTATTTATGTGTCACGTGGTACGCCCCTATTGGAGCTCAATAGGTGGCTTGTAAGGGCTCGGGCTAATCTACCTTTGGTCGGGTAATTTAGCACCGAGTGAGGGTTACGGTTCGATGTTAATGGAGGGATATAAGGATGGTTGTTTGTGTGTATTGTAATATTTTTTATATTTATTGGAATTATATTATTTTTAATTCTCACTTAATAAGCACACACTTAACTGTTTGTATACACTATCATAAATTGGCTTTGATTATTGGAACTTTTGAGTCTCATTATGTGATTAACAATTTTTAGGAGAAGAGCCACGAGTGACACGTGGAGGAGTCCCAGAGGCTTAGTGGTATAAATCCACTGTCTCTTTTGGGTATTTAATTTATGATTTATAATGTGTTATATTGCCAATATTAGGACTTTTTTGTTTATTGTCAATTATATGAATATATAAATGTAATCATGCCTTTCAAACTATTTCTATTTTTGGTACAATTTGGATGACTGTAATTTTAATATTTGGTTTACTTTGGATTGGTTAAAATGGCATGATTATAAGGTCAAATAACTGGCTTGTGTTGAAAATTGACTAAATTGTTTATTTTACTTGTTGGGAGTATAAGGATGGACAAATGTAATTTAATTTACTTGTTGGGAGTATAAGGATGGACAAATGTGATTTAGCGTGACATGTGGGAGGTAAAAATTTATATGAAATGTTATATTGTGCGAGTTGAAGCCAATTATAAAATATTTTATATTGAAATTATTGATATAAAAAAATGTGTTGGGTGACTGTAACCCAACTATGGTTGAATTAAATTATTTTTTTTAAAAAAATTTGGTGTGTTACAATTTTTCCCTGATTTAATATCTGAAACCGACAAAACAAAATGCATTATTTTTCACCAGCCAGATTGAATCTAGCATAAGGGATTAGTCTTCGATGGCGTAAATAATCAAAATTCAAATTCCGTTAACAGATAAGCTTTTATTTCGAACACAACCATTTCCAATAAAAAGACACTTGTATACAATAAAAGATATTATTTTTCAGTTTGTCTCAATACCCTCAATAGCTATAACATTAACTAGACGGCAATATGCCGTATAAATGATGATCAGACTACGAAACTTGGTGTGTGTGTGTGTGTGTGTGTGATACCATACATTCGTATTCAATATTGAATTAAATAATTAAACAATAATAATAAAGTTGGTAGTTAGATATTTTTAAACTGGCAAATTTTTTGTTAGTTAGTTAGTTAGTTAGTTAGTTATTTTTTTTTTTGCAATTCATGCAAGAAAGCACTGTACAAACGCCACCAGAATG